TCGTTTTGCCTGCTCCGCCTACACTCGACTACACACGTTACTATAGCAACCATAATTTTTTTCTTTATCAACCCATTCCTTGTTATTTAGGATTTCAATGTTTTAATAGTGGAGGTATACTGAGTGAAAATCAGCAAGATTGACTCAGGAACAAAACCTAATGAACGCCCTGTAGATTCATCTATCTTGTAATATATTAAATAACTCAAGTTCATTTACTTCAAAAAATAATGATTTAAGGAAAAAACGTCGAAAATAAATCATCATTCTCTGAAGTAAATGAACTTGAGTTATCTATTGAATAAGTGAGATTTAAATTTTATTTTCCATGTTATATTATATACTAATCATTCGTACCGAGTGAGGGACATCAAACTGTCAAAAGTAACAATATTATTCTTGCACAGATATGCCAAAAAATAAAAATCAGGTTGTTATTTATGACATCTATATCTAGTTAATAGTACAATAACGTCATTTCTAAGGGCAATATTTCAAATATTGCTCGCAGAAATGACGTTATTAGTATTATTACCACCGTTAACGACCAGGGCTGAAATAGCAAGAAAATCTTACGCACTGAACGATATCTAATTTCCCGGGGAAAAATTGCCGGTCCAGAATATATTCTAGATCGGTCCATATGGACCACCACTATGACGTCACACATTTCTCAGGTCGATATAGTAAAATTAACGCCTTCTAAACTAGCACTAAAACCCCTAGAACTGGCCCGGTAAGGTGGTAATAATGAGCAACACTTATAATTATTTATTATGAAAAATTGTTGATCATAATGAGGTCAGGTAAACTACTCGAGACATCTGTGTTGTTATCAAGGTATAGACATAAGTCAGCTGATTTTTTGGAATCTATAAAGTCCAATTCTGCATTTATGCCAAATACGTACTAAGTAGCAAACATAACAGACAAATTAACGTTGGTGATTAATCTTTGTAAGTTAATCCCAGACAGGGTTAAAGGTTAACTAACTAAGGTTAAAGGGTCAAACAAATTACATGCAATATGTAATGAAGTCAAGGGAACTATTTTGTCAATAATATTATATTAATTTGTTACTATATTTTGCATAATTCAAGTGGTGTTGTATTCCTCATAGTTATTATGAGTAATTATGAACTCTATGACAGTCTACATATGCTTAAATATCGGATCGAAGGGCAACAGGCATATTTTACTTCAATGTCATTATGTATCGAAACGTATTTGTCATTCAATGATATTAATGCACTCGCATTTAAAATGTCTAAAGCCGAAGTTCAACTTCTGCACATACAGTCCGCCATATGGTGTAAATGGAAGCAAGTCAAACTCCTGTGCATCCGGTGTTAGCAAGAATATACTTTAGATTCTCATAAAATCCCTCTTGGGGGTCATATAGACACTACACCTGTATATATGATGATATATTGATTTTAATAAATAAAAAAATGTTTCTTGAATCTTTATTTTTGAATATTTTACAAGAATATTTGCATAAATGTGATGTGTATCGTTATATTTCTTAGCAAAACGTTGATGAACACTTTAACGTTATGATGGAGTATAGCTCTGGTAACACTCTGACACTTGGGCAAGTATCGTCATTAGTATGATTAAGCTCAAAATATGATTAAGCCAACCCTGAGTTTCTTTATCCGGACCCTAAGCAAGTGTTACTCAATGCTTATATATTGCACTGTGGTGGAATATACATTGGCATCGTTAATATTAAGTACATCTATTTATTGAATTATTGAATGCATGTGTCGGTCACTTCAATTTTGTAAAATGGCTGACATTGATGCAGCTGCTGATGATCATCTATAAAAATAATGATAAAGAATAAGGGGATAGAATTATGTAAAACTTAATAAAAAAAGGTAGACATAGAAGAATATGTGATATCTGTGATTTTTGTGTTTACACCTTCTAAAGGTTTTTGGGGTCTGTAATCGGACCCCAGGAACACACATTGCAATAACTCTGCAACCGGAGACGCTTTTTTCATTCTGATTTCAGTTTTCATTAGGTTATCCAATTACCTTTCATAGTATATAAGCATTATTTATCCTGGATGCAAGAGTATATAAGTAGACCTAAATACCTGCTGGGGCCAGGTCTTAGTATTTATATAATTTATATAGAGGATACCCTATGATTTTTGAGAAATACCATTTTACCCATGAGTGGATATCGCTCATCTCCACGAGTAAGCGCAACAAATGAGTGGGCATCGGCGATATCCAAGAGTGGATAAAAATGATAGCATGAGAAAATCATAGGATATCATATTTATTCTATGGTCGCTACTTTTGTGTGGACTTAAAACAAATTGACCTAAAAGTTTTCTATTTTTTCAGTTTATTTTCTGTAAACTTGTTTTTACAAAATGATTACATGAAAAAATACTGATTTTTACTGACCATAATCTTGGAACTATATTGTTGGAGATCAAACAGACAAGTGGTCATTTGGCGACATATTCAAAACTAATGAAAAATTCGTATCCGACGGATACTATTTTTAAGTCATATCAGTCGGGTACGCTTTTAGTGGCGCATTTCAAAATTATCTTGTGTCGTTATCCCCATATTAAAGCATCCATTGGATAATAACAATATATTATTTGAATATATTTCTTGGCTAGTGATGAGTTATCATTCTATTTACTGATCGCTGATATGATTGTTGCAAAGAATGTGATGTGGGGCTCAAACGAACCCAAAATCATTTCAGGGCTAAGAAAAAGTCTACACTCACCAAAGGATGCAAAAAAACCCGATAAAGGTCAACTCCATTTAACATGTTATACCTGGAAGACCATACACTACGAATTCATAACTTCAAACATGCGAGATAAAAACTCAATTTGATCTGTCACATGGCACCAATGTCTGAGTAAATAATAATTCTGACCGTTATTTAATGATAATTACTCAAAATCGTAGAAATAGAAAAATACTTATTCCATCATTTTCAAAAGTTCCGATAATAATAAAAAATAAAAAATATTTAAGATGCATTCAATGAGATATACACACGAATATAGAATATAATCGAACTTCAACATTCTGTGTGAGAAATATATGCGTTTTCTAGAACGATTAAGAATAAATATACAGTATAGAGGTTTAATTTCATGCCATCTTTATGTGTGCCAAAGTTGAGTTTTAAATCAAAGCTGCGACAAAGGATAGAGGGCGTATTTGAAGTAAGTTTGTAATAAACTTTCAACGTGTCCCATACTACGATCTCAAATAATAACTGAAAAAGATGTTAAATATCTTATTATCAAATATAGAGAACAATACAAGTAGGGGATGCACGAATGTCCAAGAGGGAGTTGAAACTTTGGGATTGTTACCAAATAGCCAAGAAAATAAAGATATTTCACGAGAAAAATCAAAACGTTTTTAATTATTTTAGAAAGCGCTTCCCTCATGAGCAAAAAGTGATGAAAACATTACAAAATGTCCAAGAACCTTCAAATGTTACCCTTAGCTCGTCTAGAGCTACAGTGTGCCTTTGCTGTTATTCAGTCCAGTCGAGTCCAATTTGATGAGTCACAAAAAAGCAATTAAAATCATACAACACAAGCTAAACTTTTAATTAGTTTATCTGACATGTTCACAAATAAAGATGTAAATATGCCCATTAGGGGCTCATAAGTTATCAGAAACATCATATTCATAGGTTTAAGTCAAATAAATTGTTTAATATTAATGATGACGTCATTTTATCCATTGGTACAAAATTTTGGGATCTGACATGTTCACAAAGATGTAAATATGCCTATTAGGGGCTCATTATCAGAAACCTCATAATCATAGGTTTAAGTCAATTAAATTGTTTAATATTAATGATGACGTCATTTTATCCATTGGTACAAAATTGATTTGGGTATTCTTTAAGGAGTTTTCTGCGAATAAATTCATCAACTGGATACTAATGGGAATACGTTAATAATAGATAGATCTTATATATTATTAGTACAGGTGAAAAAAACATTTTGGGTGTCCATTTGATAATTGCACTATATATGTACATTCAGGTATGTCTCCCACTGAGCATCAATCAATTTTCATTTGTCATTTACCAAAATGCAAACGCACACCGTAATGATACCAGGAAATGTGAGATTGATCGATAATATGGAAAGGTATAAAGGAGTTCGAGAAACCCAGTGCCCTCATCTAAGTGACAACACCTGACAACATCATCATCGCTCGCGCAGGGCTCTCGAGATTAAAAATACATCTCGAATTCTACACGGACAACAAATGTGCTTATAAATCATAACAATTATTGATATGATCATCGGAGTATATTGCGCATGTCCACAATAGAATACTGACCCTGAATAAACTACGAATATAACACAACACTGACAAAAAAAGTTTACGTTCTATTGGGGAGCCGGACATAAAAAATGTCAAATTTTTCATCGGAAATAAACGTTTCAGGATCGTCTTTTAAATCGTCATCAAATTTCAATGACGGCGGTGTGTCTACAGGTTTGCTCGTGCTTTCTGCCGTCGTTATTTCTTTGTGGATAATGCTTGGGAATACGCTGGTAATTGCTACATATCAAAAGTGCCCTCCGTTGCAAACAGTCGCCAACACATTTATCATAAGCATACACTTGGCTGTTGCGGACGAAGTAACAGGACTATCGTGCTTGGTGATGGTGATCCCGGCAAGATTTTTGCCGATAACATTCATCTGCACTAGCTTCGAGTTCCAACTATTTACCACGTTGTTCGCCACTGTACCTTTCGTCGCATCGTTTCTTTTCCTTCTGATGGTATCTGTCGACCGGTTCATCGCAGTATTTTGGCCACTGCGGTATCAGACAATTATGACTCAGAAAAGAGCTACTGTGTTATCATGCGTTATGTGGTTACTCAGTATGATTTATTACATCATAACAATGACGGATAGCTACTTTCAGTTGAAAACTACTTCGGAACAGAAAGTAGTGATAACTTGTATGAAACGTTCGGCAGTACCAAGATTTATGGGGATGACTTTCGGCACTTTATACATGGTGGTCCTAATCCCTCATATAGTAATTTACATTTGCATATTCACGGTAGTAATACGTCAACAGAAGAAAATGAACATAACCAATGAAAATGGGTCATCAAACTCTGGCCAGAACATTCCAAAAAGTAGTCTGAATCTCGTAAAAACGGCTTTAATTGTTATCGGATTGTTCCAAATTTGTTGGACCCCTTTTGTAGTTTATCTTACCATTCTACAATTTGATTTGATAGATGCCAGAGAACGCACAGTTGGCATCGGTATGTTTGTAGCATACGTTATAGCTATCATCAACTCGGGTATGAATCCAATAGTTTATGCAGTGAGATCGACCGCCTTCAGAACAGGAATGAGAAAGGTTCTGAAACTGAAGCCAAATGAAGTTGAAAATGTGTCACATTCATGAGACAATTTAATACAAGATCGGAGAAATATGCAGGTCACTATTTATACAACACTAATGAATTCCATTTACTTCAGTGAGTTTATCAAACCTAAAATCCTGCCGACTGTGAAAACAAAATAGAATTTGGTTATGGAATGAGAAAAATTGGACATAAATACACATTTTCATAAATACACAGCCCTCCATAAGTTTGGTATTCGAAAGTTCCCTTCTTGTTCATTAAAAGTCTGTTAATATTTGGTGATTAAAATATTTCGAACTTTTGTAAATAAGGTATGAAAAACGATTACAACATTATAGGCTTTTAAAACGATGATAAATTAAGACTTCAAATTCCAATCGTATGGAGATGAGTATGTGCGTTCATTTTTTAAATTTATGTATTCCGATCATATTTGAATATTGATATCCACTTTCATCTTATTAGCTTCAAGTTTCAATCATCTAGAAGGCTGTTATCTAGAGAAACATATATATATATATATATATATAGAGTACGTCTCTTGATAATAGTCAAGATATTATCGCCATCTATTTACAAAATGTTTTTTTAAATTGGACAGTCAATGCACCTGTATTGCTTTTTGTTGTATTGTGGCATGTAATGCCTGGGTCACATATGTTCCGATCCATCGGCCGGCGCCCGCCCGATTGAGTGTTTTGTTCAATATTGTATTCAAGTTTGAACAAAATACTCAATCGGCCGGGCGCCGTAGTGAAAATCGGAGCAAATGTGACCGAAGCATAACTTTCATGTACACGTGCTAAAACCGCCTCTGCTTAATAATGTCTGAGTCACTCCGATGCATCGGCCGGCGCACGACCGATTGAGTATTATGTTCAATATTGGATTCAATTTTGAAAATTACACTCATTTGACAGGTCGCCGGTCGATGAATCGAGCAAATGTTACTCAGGCATATTAAAGAGGTTAAGCTTCAGTTTTCCAGTTTTCACCATCTGCACGTGAACTGAAAGATTAAGCATATGGCAGTGCGCGCATATTTTTTGTATGCGCTTCGATACCGTTCAGCGTCAGCGTATCGTGTTTAGAACGGGGAAATGTCACGTTGGTTTCAACGGGAATCATTATAATACTCATATCTACTGAAAACTATGCCGGCAATTTTGATAATGCCTGGGTCACATTTGCCCCGATTAATCGACGCGACCGGGCGCTGAGTATTTTGTTCAAAATTGAATACAAGTTTGAATAAAATACTCGATCGGCAGGGCGCCGGCCTACAAATATGAGCAAATATGACCGAGGCATCAACAGTACGACTGTAGAATTCTTTCTGAAAAAGATGACAATATATCATGTATCTTTTAGTTCCGAATACTATATAGTATTTTCCCAAGCGAACTTTTCAAAAATGTATCAGGAAACCAGCTTTAGAAGTTACAATTAATGACATCTTATATGCTACCGTATAGTACAGGTACATGTATATTTCTTTAAATAAATAATTCTCGTTTATGCAGTATGTGTATGTGTTGATTGACATTTTGTGATGTACAAGTGCATTTAAAACACACATTTTTAGTATATTTAGGTACACTAAAAAAATCATATTTAGTTGTCACTCCTGTTCCAAGCATGGACACTGAAGCTGAACGCATCTGATATGCAATCATATGTGTTCTCGAAACGTCTGACGTTTTCGTTTAGATTTTATATGTAAGCTTAGCCTCTCTATTTTACACAATTTGTGTCACCCGCTTACTGTCATATTACAATGAATAGCTTAAATAAATAAATTAACCAATTAATCAAATATTATGAGTTTGCTTTTAAATGCTCTCTTTAATGCCAGAGTATACCGGCCTGACTAAAGTTTCCGCCACATAACATATAGAAAAATGCTCTCAACAGAATTCTTGGAAAGGATAACCCCCCTATCACACAAACTAGTTCTTACCCGTTCTTGCCAGTCCTACGAAAACGTCGTAAAACGGGCTCAATCTGGCTGTGGTCAGGAAATATGTCTGAAATAATTAGCTTCTTCGTTCTTAAACAGTCTTCAATACGTCCATCTCGTTCGCAGTTTGTTCAGGCCGCACCACGTCGGTGTACAACGTCGTAGAACGCGTCCTTTAGTCTAGAAGGTCAACATGACCTGATTACAGAACGGTATGGTCGCCATCGAATTTTGAATCGATTCAAAATTCTAAAATCACATTCCCGTCTGAGAACGTTCATAAAGTTCGTAAATAGACCTTAGAAAGTTGCAGTTACGTTCATTCCGTTCGCACACAGTTTAAAACCTGTTTTGAAGAACGCAGTGGCAACTTGTTTGGTGTGATAGCTATATTTTTGCTAACTCGTTCATAAGCAGTGTTAAATACGTTCTTAATCAGTTTAAACCCGTTTGCAATTAGTTCTACCTCGTTCTAAACACGTCCTCAGGCAGTTCAACTCGTTGTTAAAACGTCCCTAGTAGGATTGAAGTACGACGGTTCCGTTCATACTATGTGCAGCTCGTCGTTAGTACGTTGTCACTCGTTCTAATTGTAGAACGTGACGACCACGAGAACATTTTGAGCATTGTCTAAGTTCTAGAGGACCTACCCGTTCGAGTACGTTCGATGACGTTTGTAAATAGATCCCAAACGGTTCTTAGTAGGCCCAGTCCGTTCGTACACAGTTGAAGCCCGTTTTCGAGAACGCAGTGAGAACTAGTTTGGTGTGATAGTAGGGTTAGAGATTTGCCATTCGACAGCAAATCAATCTCAGTTCTAGAATGAAGGGAAGATATTATCGAGAATTCAGAATGAAGAGTGGGGGGGAATATGTGAGAACTCCGGTAAAGTCAGTTCATAAGCTGACTTTTACAAATGTGTAACAAAAGAATAAAGGTGGGCCAAATGGAGGGACTATTATCAAGGGTGGCCAGGCTTTATCATTTTAGAAAATGGATTCACAAAAATGCATGAGTATCCAATCAATCTCTGACATAGAATCGGGCTCACATTTACTTTCACCTCTACGCTCATTTTATTGAAGGTGGATAACTTAAGCAGAATCCAATAATAATGCATGTGGTATATTCCAGACATCGATACACTTGATCACTGATAGACTTCATTTTAGTTTGATTGAGGACGTGAAAGAGATAAATCCCCTTTGTGTGTCTAACTGATCTGCCTTCTATGAGTTTATCATGTCGTAATATCCACCATTAAAACTAGCGCATAAATATCAGTAAAAAAGATACCTCTAGAATCTTTACTGTCTCACCTGTTTCGTTGCCATAGAAACCAGCATGTTATGGATTAAATTCGTTCAACAGAACTCTATCTAACTTTCAGGAAACTCATTATAATTCAGAATAAGCTTCACTTTTAAGTTTGTGTTAGATTTGAGTTGAAATTTTACAATGTATCGATCTTTGTATATACTAGCCATCCATATGACATTGAAAATACACACACTAATACAATAACGTTTCAAGGAGTCTTAAAATATTAGCGGTCATCAAGAGGAGGGAAAGCCCCAGAGTTTCAAGATGACAGACATAATTACCTCTCTTGCTTACCACCTTCGTTCGTTCGAATTTTCATCGGCTAGTTATCAAATACTACACTTCGATGGGATGTTATAATTGATATAGGCATATTCCGTACACCTTTCTTTATCTTGATGTGAAACGAGAAGCTATGATATTGGTTAACACGCCAGAAATGAACATAATATTATTCGAAGCGTATTTCGAAAATTTTGAAACCGCCATTGATGACGTCATTTGTTTGTCGACTTTTGACCAATCAGCGACCGTGTCATCTCAATACAGATTTACATTATAAGCGTTAACATCTTTGAACCCTGGTGTTTCTCCCCCTCTGGCGGTCATCCATAAACCAACTGGAATATCTCCTCAAATATCCCCGGATCCTTCGAAACCCCTCCAGATACCTTGTTCAAATGAAGTGACATTGACTTTCTTGAAACACTTGTTTGACCTTCATGATTCCTGCACTTTACAACATGTTTTAGATAAGTGCTTGACGTGTAAGGGTTGACCTTTTGGCCTTAACCCGATGACCTTGAGGAATGTCAATAAATGGCGATGTATTCAGTAGGTTTAATTGTATACATTAACATAAAATATCCCTGCGCTCAGAGTCTGAAGACGAAGCGAAGTCGAACGAAAGCAAATGGTTACTTCATGAACTATTAGCCCTATTTACACTACACGCGACATTCCACCAAGACGTCTTGGCTAAAACGTTTTAGAAAAATTATGTTGAGTTTACACCACCATTTTCAAGACGTCTTACGAAATATAATTGAGTTTACACCTGTTTTTCTAAAACGTCTTAGAGATATGTAGGTATATATGTCACATGAATGAAAAAAACGGTTCAGTACTGGTTGAAGGACGATTCAGTCAATATAGTTATTCCTTCCCCGCGTTGTGCTCAAGAATGCATCGGTTTCACAAAAATATGTCCTAAAGACATCATTGTTAAAAGCATAAAAAGAGCAGAACGATTTTCTTTATATATTAGGGTTATGATAGATCGCCAGGCAAATTAGTTCTTCGGGATATTTTTGGGATGATATTGGCAACAAGGCATTAGACAAAAGAAAGGACTGTGCGACACATGTAAACAGTTTCAAATTTTTCGTTCAGCGCAACGCAAAAAAACTGGGAACCTCGGCCATTGATTGTTAGGGATATACAGGGGAGGGGGGGGGGTCCATTGAAAAAATGGTACAGTCGGATTTCAAAAATAAATATTGATTTTCTCGATGGAAACATGTCATATTATATACCAATGGAAAAGGAATTTACTCATCCTTAATTTGGTATATCATGAGTTCAAATTTATTATGTCTGTCAACCAGCGTCCATAACATAAATAACAGGTTTTCAAAAACTTGCAAAAAAACGTTTTTTTGTCAACTTTATTTACAGACGTTCAATATGTCCATCATTTGGTAGCTCTTGTGTGTAAAATTGTCACGTAACGCTATTCTCCATCTTTTCAAATCCACGTGTTTGATACGTGATGTAAATAGATTTCATTATCTATAACCTTGAGAAAAACCATGGTCATTGATTTTAATGCACTACAAGTTCCAGGAAAATTTCCAGAGCTACAAAATTTATAGGCTCATTGTATTGGTAAAACGTTCCCTAAGAATAAGTACAAATCATCCTTCTGAAACTTAACAGGGTTGAAGGCTGAATAAACAAACTGCATTTATTTGTACAAATTATCCTATAGAAGATGCAGGTTGTAAAAGGTCATGATGCCTTTTACTTTTCTGTTTTAATTGTACCATGTTAAACAATATACTGCTTGCTATATGGATTATCTGGCATGGCCAACAATGTTGATGTTAAACTCCAGAATGACCGAGAGGCTAGAAACATACATAGTGACAGTCGTAAAAATCACGGCCTCGTCATGGTTCTTTCTACACACAAGTCCTTAATACCAAGTATATACAAGTATATAATATATAAAATATGCTATTCAA